CTCTCTCTCTCTCTCTCTCTCTCTCTCTCTCTCTCTCTCTCTCTCTCTCTCTCTCTCAGAGTCCGGTACTAAACTGTGAAGGTGGCGCCTTGTTGCAGGTACATCGAAGACGAAGCTGGAGCTATGGCGCCACAGGTAAGTCTCCCTGGCCTCCGCCAACCATCTCTCTCTCTCCAACGCTACTCTAGCTCCTAATAGCACCCAGCGCTGAAGACTACTGCTAACGCTAATACTACTACTGCAGCGCTCCTCCAGAGTGCTGCTGCCGAATCCTGAAGACTGCCTCCTGCCTCCTGCACGTGAAGTGCCTGGGAAGTCCCTATGAACTACCTCGTGACTACCTGCAGCCTGCAGGGCGGGCCAGTCTTATATAGTGCTGGCCAGTCCAGGAGTCTGCTCTTGCCAATGCCAAAACGTGCCAGACCCTGGCATTGAAGGTCAAACAAAGGTTGTCTTGAAAACAGGCCCAAAATGGCCTGTGCTAAAACCCTGGTCTGGTGCCTAAGTTTCAGGGCAGGTCGATCTTATGAGGGCCTGAAAATGGCCCTCCGTTTCAGGCTGAAAAGACTCAGAGCCTGGAGGGCCCTTTTTAGGCTGAAACGACACAGGGCCTGTAGGCCTCGTTTTCAGGCTTTCAGGCTGAAACGACACAGGGCCTGTAGGCCCTTGTTTTCAGGCTTTCAGGCTGAAACGACACAGGGCCTGTAGGCCCTCGTTTTCAGGCTTTTAGGCTGAGGCGACACTGGTCGGTCCCTGCAGGCCCGTGTGGCTGCGCAGTATGCCACAGGTAAGTTGCGATTATCTCCCCCTTCCTTGCTTCTTTTCGGCTTCTCCTCCCCCTCCTCCTCCTGCTCCTCCTCTCCTCAACCACGTCGTCTTTGCCCCCCCGCACCTCGGCGTCCACCACTTCCTCCTTCTCCTCCCTCCTTCTACCTGCCTCGTTTGTGTCGCATTTCCCTGTCCTTGCCCGCTATAGCTGGTATCTCCCGCTTTCTCACTTCCTTTCGGATTCTCCTCCTCCTCCTCTCCCCACCTCCACCTGCTTCGTTTTGTCTCCCTTACCGGTTCATCATCGTTACTCCTCCATGGATGTATCTGCCCGCAATGACAACGGGACTTGGATATAATTGCGGTCAGATACATTCGCGTCCAATTTCCCACCATCGTCATCCTGCATTGTCCTCTCTCCTTTGTCATCGATCGTCATTACACACACACACACACACACACACACACACACACACACACACCTTCACACACATCCACGCCCAATTTCACGCATGGGCCAAGATCGGCATGGCAGATATGGCAGGTTGAGGTGGCGTCGCATAGTGCACCCTCTCTCTGAAAGTGTCCAAACGCATGTAGTCTGCTGTGTAGTGGAGCGAGCCGCATCAGCAGAGTGAACCAACTCCAATGGCTCACGAACATGTGCTGCTTGCACACACACTGCGCCGTCAGAAAGGCAAAAAATATGGCCATGTATCTTTCCATGTTCTTGTGGACGATTCAGTCCCATTTTGCACATTTGATGAGCAGTAGAGCGAGGCCCGCCAAGCCCGACATCTTTCCATGTGCGGCGGCTGTCCAGGACCGCACGGCTGGCCTCTCCCGTTTTCCTCCACGTCGGACCAACCGACAACAGTCTGAGCTCCGTGGGACTCACGAACGCCCCTCCAGTTCCGCCCCCCCGCACAGCTTGTCGCATCCCACTGGTACGCCGCGCGGCACCGATTTTTGCTGGGCCCGCTGGGACGCATCACGTTTTGCAGTTGTTAATAGTATAGAGATAGAGATAGAGACAAGTCGAGGTGCGCTGTGGCCTATGACCGTAGCCGAACAGGCCCGTGATTCAATGTCAACTTGGGGCAGCGCAATGCCAACAGGCTGTGCCCAATGGTGTGGGTGTGTCACTGTCTGGGTTGGACATTCTGTTATGCAGGTCCGGAGGGTATGTAACAATTACTGTCAGGTGAGGTATAATGCGGTACTATCTTGTAATGTAGGGAACTTATATGTTAGTATGTCACACAATCTGCGATCGTATATGGTACTGTCAGGTGCCATGCAGGTTGGAAGTGTGGTTGGGCATGGTACTACGCAAACGGAATGGGTAGTTCGACTGCTCCCGAATGAAGAACGATTGTGCCATGACATGATACTTTCACAAAACAGAGTCTAGTGCCCTTCCAGATAGACCCGGGTATCTAGGGATATCATTGGAAAATGAGTAGGAAATGGACACCAACGGCAGAAGGCGCCAGGACAGGACGAAGGGCTACAGAGGACGTAAGAGATCTACCAAGCAAGCACTGGTCAACACTAATAGCCACATGGAGAGAGGCGTTTGCAGAGAGGGTAAGGAAGCCAGGAGAAATGAAGTTCTCAGGCAACCGCTGTTCGCCATAGTCCCTCAAAAGCAATAACAGGATGGAGAAAATGGATGGAAAACAGAATCTGGAAAAAAAGAACATTAGCGGGGCAATCAGCCGCGGAGATGGAAAACAATAGAAGACTTCTGGCTCTCTTGAGTAAGCGTAGTGGAGTATCATACTTTGATGACTTCTGGATCTTGCTGAGCACGAGGATATCAGAGAGCTCGGTACGGCTGAGAGGAGAACAAGAGGAAGGCACCAGGGCATAGGGACCCAGAAACAATAGCTGTCAGGAAGTACAGGGGTGGGGCAGCGGTAAATCCTTCCTTCCCAGGAAGTCAGGAAACAACCAATGTCGCTGTCTCAGGATCCTTCATCCATAACAGAAGGAAGCACCAAGTGAATTTTATTTGTCAGGGACTGGAACTGGTTTTCACAACTTTCCAGCAATTGATAGGAAAAGAGTATGGTTGTTCAAAAAAAAAAAAAAAAAAAGGAATTCAATTCATACTATTTCATAGTTATTTCATACTAATGTCATAGACAAGAGTAGATCACCATATTCATCTCACAGTGAATACACAGTGACTGCTCAGGTAATGTCAGAGATCCTCCTATTGCCCAGTATATGTCTGACCTACCGTCTTCACCCGAATTGAACGCCCGTTCATTATCACTGCATCTGGATTCTGGACTGAAAGTTGGGCCAAATGCAGCTATAATGACTGGGCGTTCTATTCGGGTGAAGATGGTAGCATCCCTCTGTGAGTGCACACCAAGTAACACTCAGCTTGGCACCATGGAATTTGTTCATTGCATGGACAGGAGATGATTGGCGCCACGGAATTTGTTCATTGCATGGAGAGGAGATGATGACACTGCACTTCTAATAGATTGCACATGAGTGAGGAGTTGTGAATTGTAATCTGAGTTGAGCGCTTATAATAAATTGTAATCAGCTGAGCAGCACTGCATTTCGCACCTCTGCCTGGAGTTGCACCACTTCCAGATATAGGGCTTATATCCCAGGTTCCGTGAGTCGACGTAGACCATGCCACAGCGGCTCACTGTCGCGGGTGATGCATACTGAAGGTCATAAACCTGTGTAATTTTTTTCAACACCAGAAAATGTCACATTGTCAGTGAAGGGGAGGGACGGGAGGGGATTGGGGTGGGGTGTTTCTAGAATTGGTCATGCATGAATGCACAAAGATCTGCACATGCTATCCAAGAAATGATCAGCAGTGGTGAGCTTGCCTCACAGGAGCCATCCTTTGTCAAATGCACTCTTCTTTGCAGTGAATTTGTCTAGTCTGCCCTGAGTTGCTTGCTTGAGCAAGCGCCATTTACAGCAGACTTCAGTTTCCTCCATTCCAACGAGTTGGGACCATTTTTCCTCTCTCATTGAGAGATCATCATATCCAAATGGTCCAAAGGGTGACTGTCTTGAGGATCAGGAACTGTTTTTTTTTTTTTTTTTTTCCAAACGAAAAACAGAACCTTCTGGTTCTGGCTCCATATCCATCCTGGGGAGCATCAGACCACTTCCTATTCCACCAGCAAGTCAAATGAAAGCACATGTACGCACTCCAATGCTTCTCCCCATTATGGTTGGGAGACCCGAGCGGGCGGCATTAATTACTTCCAATAGGAAGGATGTACCTCCCCTTATCCCTGCCCAAGTTAGCCCACTACGAAGTAGCTTTCTCCTAAGTCCTAATAGCCTTTGATCCCTCTCTAGCCGGACTGAAATTTTGTCTTCTGCTCACTGTGGAGTTGAGATCTTTAATTGCTCCTCTTATATATTGCCTGCCATCTGCTAAAGCTTCAAAACCGAGAGCAGTGTCTTTTTTCCTTTTTAATAAAGCCCGGGTTGTTGTGCAATCAGATTCGTTTTCAAACACACTTTTCACACATGTAAACAGTAACGCAGCACACTGGCGACATGCGCCCACTCAAAACTCAGAGATATGGCTTCAGATACGAGTTCACTCTCAAATGGCTATGGCGACTTCAGCGCCCAAACATCTCACTGTTCACATACACTGGATCACCCTGGATATCCCACACGCATCACTCTAACACTCGAGCACACACACACACTCACTACTAAC